TAGCTCAGCTCCATGAAATGTGTAGTTGCAGAAAAATATCCATACCTCCCCTACAGAAGGGATTTTTGTCTAAAACCTCCCCCACCCCTCTGGAAGTTCCAGTTAAGTTTTATTTCTTTAATTTTTTTGTCTTTCAGAACCCCACCCCCAGAAAATTTCAGTTGCTTCTGTGGATGGAGTGTGGATATTTTCTGGAACTGAAGAGTATCCATACTCGTAGTCTGAATTTCAGCCATCTCTTCCCTTTACTCCCGTGCCCCCCTCGGGGGAAAGGGAAGAGGTGGCTGAAATTCAGACTACCATACTCACCCTAAGGACGGAGACTGTTCTGGAAGTTTCCTAAGATGGAAAAGGATGCTCCCAATCATGCTGTTCCAGAAAATATCTACCGGTATACCATGGGGGTTGTTTTTGGTTTCCACCACCCCCCTGGAAATTTACACCCCTTTACCGGTTGGTGGGTATGGATACATTCTGGAACCACACAGTCAGTAAAATGTTACCCCCCCCCCCCCCCCCCCCTCCAAGCCAGTACATTTAATTTTTGTTCAGGGAAAAATGGATTTGGTGTTTTTTTTGTTTTGTTTTTTTTGTATTTACATGCATTCAAATTCAATAACAACCTCTGAACATGCAAAGAGAGCCACTGCTGTTACTTGCTCACCTTCCCATTTTGCTCAATAGGTTCAGATACTTTGTGTTGACAAGAAGAATCAAACCATAAGGCCACAGTGTCTTCCACTTTATTTGACAAAGCACACAGCTTTAGTTGAAGTAATATTGAAAAGGTCTAACCTGTTTCATTTTCAGGTGTCTATGCATTGAAGCCTGCTCTGCCAGCTGTTGGAGGAAATGAGGGTGTTGGAGAGGTCACAGAGGTTGGTAATGAAGTACAAGACCTCAACACAGGAGATCACGTGGTCTTAAGGGCAGATCAGTGTCTAGGTACTGATGGCACTTTTCCTATATATCCTCATGTTTTACACATAACAATCATGGATTTTAAGATTGATTATTACTTAACTCTTTTTTTAATTTACAGTAACCAAATTGCAATTTAGTTTTTAAAGTTATTGGACATTAGTAGTGTGTGAGCCTCTAGAATCACTATTATGTAATTATGTAAATATTAATAAAAATAATCGTTGAATGTTGTCCTTCAGTAGCATTTTGAATGAATTGGTAAAAGTTCAATTGAGGCCTTACACTACTGTAAAATGATATTAAAATCTTCTAAAAAATCCAAGCTTTTGCCGTTCTACGACATCATCAGGGATAAGAAAAATATTGCGCGTAAGGCTTATATACAGATGTAAAGTAAAAACGTGTGAAAAGCGAAAGAATGTGGGGGGTAAAATGCATGAGATAAATAAGATACAAATATGATCATTCGTTTTTATTCATGTTTGTATCTTATTTATCTCATGCATTTTACCCCCCACATTCTTTCGCTTCTCACACACTTTTACTTTACATCTGTATATAAGCCTTACGCGGAATATTTTTTCTTATCCCTGATGATGCTGTAGATCGGCGAAAGCTTGGATTTTTTAAAAGATTTCAATATCATTTTACAGTAGTGTAAGGCCTCAATTGAACTTTTACCAATTCATTAATAAAAATGTTTTCTATTTCCTTTTAATTCTTAATATAGGTTCCTGGTGTAGACACTTGGTGGTATTAGAGCATCAGGTTTTAAAAATCCCTGCTGGTCTCCCTGTGGAAGCTGCAGCCACAGTGAGTGTAAACCCATGTACTGCATTCCGATTACTGAAGGACTTTGAAGACCTTGAGCCAGGTAATCCATTTTACAGTGTTGCAGGTTTAACCTGTTGACTCTGGGAGCTTTTTGCCAAAAACGGGCTAATTCAAAATGCTAATGCAAAGAAAGGCATGCTGTCATGTTGTAAATGCCTTTTTGAGTAGATTGGAGCTAATTTGGCTCATATCTGGGCGGAAAATGTCCAAAATGCCCCAAAAATGTATTTTTTACCTAAAAGCTCTGGATTTGAATGTGTTAAAAACAACTGTTTTTACCATTTGAAAATAAAATTCAACATATCTTTGGGCTGGCAAGTGATATCTTCTATATATTAACTGTTTCTCTCGCTAGTAGCATTTTGAAATTAATTACTGGTAGTAGGACCTTGTTCTGTTAGCAATGGATTGGCTCAATTGTTGCCAGACCCTGATGGAATATTTCGGGTATTCATGATCCAGCAAAACAAAAGGAGTGATTCTATTGAATTGGTGACCAAGACTATGTAAGTCAAGTTCAGTTTGAGTTTTGATCCCATGAACTGATTTTTGGCAAGATGGGTCCTTAATATATTTTTTTCTTTTAAGCAACCAGACTTGGATCATGTACATGTATATCAGTACTGTCTAGAAGTAACTAGTCTCCTCCGCAGCCGTTATTAGGGTCGTCACGCAACGCTTCTCCCCCACTAAGTGGGGGAGAAGCGTTGTGTGATGACCCTAATAATGGCTGCGGAGGAGACTAAGAAATAACTCGACTGAAATTCAATAGAACTAGCAAATATATGTGTTTGTGTTCAAGGTGATGCAGTCATTCAAAATGGTGCTAACAGTGGAGTAGGTCAAGCTGTTATCCAATTAGCGGCTGCCTGGGGAATCAAGACTGTTAACATCATTCGTAACAGGTGGCACTTATCTGACTGGTTCTTGTTGATTTTATACAGGAAATTATTGCAGCTGTAAATCTTAAAAAACTTGTACAGCACAATTTAAATATTGCAATACAAAACGTGTCCCTGCCACAGCAATTTCTGATAGACTGCATGACCTCTTATCACTGTTGCTTATTTCTGAAAGGAGCCCAACCAATTGTGGTGTTGTCATTTCATGGCACAATTATAAATTTAGAGCAGAAGTGCAGTAAGTAACTGACCCATGAGAGGTAGTGGGGATGGAAATGGCCAGAGGAAAGGAAAAAAAATCACACAGTATCTTCTCCATCAGCATGATAGGCCCAAATAGAACTTTTAGCATATTGTTGCTAAATTCGTACAACTTTCTTTTCACAGATAATTTTATATCCAGCCATTTCATCTGAATTTTGAAAAACAATAAACTATAATTTGTTTCAGACCAAATGTGGAGGAACTGAAGAGNCGCACTCACAGGGAATCCTGTAGACAACACCATCTTGTTTAGCCGGGTTGACGGTGTCCTTTGGTCGCACTAAGTGTGACTGAAGTGTCGTGTCAGACTTAAAGACGGTGCGAATGCCTTGTTGTTCTAGGCAGTGGCGGAGAGACTCCGAAACTTCTTGGACATAAGGTAAAACGGTGGTAGATTTAAATTCCGTGACAGGCTCTCTTCTTAGCATATTGTTGCTAAATTCGTACAACTTTCTTTTCACAGATAGTTTTATATCCAGCCATTTCATCTGAATTTTGAAAAACAGTAAACTACAATAATTATTTGTTTCAGACCAAATGTGGAGGAACTGAAGAGTCATCTCAAAGACCTAGGTGCTAATTATGTTGCCACTGAAGAAGACTTGAAAAGCTCCAAAATGAAAGAGACAATGAAGGTCAGTCTTGCATTGTACAAGTTACATCTTAGTAATACTGTGTCACTACATGGATCTTACCGACTTATACCCTATACCGTCCTATATCTCTCCATGCCGTAAAGCACGTAAGGCTTTGACGTTCTCCTTCCACCCATTTTGATTACTGTTAGAGCCCTTACAGTCACCCATGACTGCCACCCAACCGCACCCCTTTTTTCTATCCTCCTCCATGTGGTTTTGGGTCGACCTGGTCTTCTCCTCCTCTCTGGCCCCCATACAGATACTACCTTTCCAAATTTGTGTGACAGGTTTTATTTTTTATTTTTTATTTCTTTTTTTGTTTCCTTTCAGGGAATCAAGCCACCTAAGCTTGCTCTCAATTGTGTTGGAGGAAAGAGCTCCNCCCAACCAATTGTGGTGTTGTCATTTCATGGCACAATTATAAATTTAGAGCAGAAGTGCAGTAAGTAACTGACCCATGAGAGGTAGTGGGGATGGAAATGGCCAGAGGAAAGGAAAAAAAATCACACAGTATCTTCTCCATCAGCATGATAGGCCCAAATAGAACTTTTAGCATATTGTTGCTAAATTCGTACAACTTTCTTTTCACAGATAATTTTATATCCAGCCATTTCATCTGAATTTTGAAAAACAATAAACTATAATTTGTTTCAGACCAAATGTGGAGGAACTGAAGAGTCATCTCAAAGACCTGGGTGCTAATTATGTTGCCACTGAAGAAGACTTGAAAAGCTCCGAAATGAAAGAGACAATGAAGGTCAGTCTTGCATTGCACAAGTTACATCTTAGTAATACTGCTTCACTACACGGATCTTACCTACTTATACCCTATACCATCCTATATCTCTTCATGCCGTTAAGCACATAAGGCTTTGACATTCTCCTTCCACCCACTTTGATTACTGCTAGAGCCCTCACAGTCACTCATGACTGCCACCCAACTGCACCCCTTTTTTCTATCCTCCTCCATGTGGTTTTGGGTCGACCTGGTCTCCTCCTTTCTGGCCCCCATACAGATACTACCTTTCCAAATTTGTGTGACAGGTTTTATTTTTTATTTTTATTATTATTTTTTTTGTTTCCTTTCAGGGAATCAAGCCACCTAAGCTTGCTCTCAATTGTGTTGGAGGAAAGAGCTCCATGGGCCTGTTTCGCTACTTGGGGTGAGATGTATACATTGTATGTTGGTAAAAATTGTTTCGGTAGAAATTAACAGTGTACAATCCACCGTAGAAAAAAAGATGGCTATTGGTACATTTACCCATAACTCTTAGCGCATGGGAACTTAAACAACGCTCATAAAAACGTACAGGAACGTTCTATAACCTTCAAACCCAGCGTACACAGTGTCGATAGCACATGGACAAATACTGCAAAAACATGGCTTTCCTTGTACTTAACGGGCTGTATTAGGCTTGCATGGTATTGTGGTAAAATGTACAGCTGCCATCTTTTTTACTACAGAGGATTGGCATAGGGAGCTTAGCTGAAGTACATTGTGAAAACTCTGAAAGTTCTCTAATCATTAACTAGCTCCGTTGTTTTCAGACCAAAAGGAACAATGGTGACTTACGGCGGAATGTCAAAGCAACCTGTTACTGTGCCAGCGGTATGTAAACGAGATTCTTTGGTTGATTTGATTTGATTTCTTTAATTTATTTNTCCTTTCAGGGAATCAAGCCACCTAAGCTTGCTCTCAATTGTGTTGGAGGAAAGAGCTCCATGGGCCTGTTTCGCTACTTGGGGTGAGATGTATACATTGTATGTTGGTAAAAATTGTTTTGGTAGAAATTAACAGTGTACAATCCGCCGTAGAAAAAAAGATGGCCATTGGTACATTTACCCATAACTCTTAGCGCATGGAAACTTAAACAACGCTCATAAAAACATACAGGAATGCTCTATAACCTTCGAACCCAGCGTACACAGTGTCGATAGCACATGGACAAATACTGCAAAAACATGGCTTTCCTTGTACTTTACGGGTTGTATTAGGCTCGCTTGGTATTGTGGTAAAATGTGCAGTCGCCTTCTTTTTTCCTACGGAGGATTGGCATAGGGAGCTTAGCTGAAGTACATTGTGAAAACTCTGAAAGTTCTGTAATCATTAACTAGCTCTGTTATTTTCAGACCTAAAGGAACGATGGTGACTTATGGTGGAATGTCAAAGCAACCTGTTACTGTACCAACGGTATGTAAACGAGATTCTTTGATTGATTTGATTTGATTTCTTTAATTTATTTATTCATTTACCTTTTTTTGATAAATTGTAAACCATTTAAGTTGTAAGCGTAGTATTGGGCCCTTATGTAGAAATATATCGAACTCGAATATGTGTAATATGTCAAACTTTTTTTAACGATTAGGGCTCGCTGATATTTCAAGACGTGAGCGTTAGAGGATTCTGGATGTCTCAGTGGAACATTGATCATCANAAATTTAACTGAGCTAATAGATAGGTCTTGAAGCTACTTAAAGAAGCGTCAAAAAACAGCTTTCCGGTGATTATTTCAGAAAATTAGCAAAGCGTCTGGTCATTGACTGGAAATCAGATTTAGATCTTTAGCTATGCTGACCGTTTAATAAGCCCGTGACACAAACAATGTCAGTATTGTTGAATAGATTTCCAGCGTCATGGTAACATTTTCTAGCGCTCCCCCAGAGTGTCTTGTAAAAGATAATCGTGAAATGTATCGAGACGGACATAGAGTTTAATATATTGCCGACCTTAATAAGGAGCACATAGAAGGCTTAAAACAGAGAGTGACCTTTAACCAGTTTTTAAATTCATCATCGGTCGTGTTTTCGCTTGCTTAGACAGAAGCTTATTCGAGTTACAGTTTTAATCAAATTGTATTTTCAACATTGTCTAATAGAGTTGATTAGCGTGCACGAAAGCAAAGACTGAAACAATTTGACAAGTGCACGCGCAATGTTTGATAATCAAGAGCTTACACGCGCATCGTGTCTTCTCTTGCGAGGTAATTTTCGTACCTGCGCACTGGACTGGCCCACAGAAAAAAATGCGACAAATATTTTCACCATTTTAAACTTAAAAAATACAGACGCCCATAAATGTCGTATCATAAAATGAAACCTTTTGTTGTCATCTTAGATATCATAGATATCTGTTCAGTGGAAATCGACTGTTCGTGAGAGCCTGATCAATTTTTCAGGCAGGAACAAGGGCTAAGAGTTATAGCTATTCGAGAGATAAATAAACAATTATTGGTTGAGAAAAGTATACCTGTCGTTTTGTTGTGCATAACTTAAATTTTAACCTGCTTGGGCTGTTAACTGTTTATTTTGAAACTTTATAAAAGAAGTGTATTCCAGTGTGACTTAATCCTGCTTTCAGAAGCTATAATAGAGGCAATGAAGATTTTTTTAATCTTGGAAGTCCCGTAATTTGACGTTGCTGTGGTGCATCTTACCATCCACTAGGAGCCGTGCGCAGTAATTAAGGTACAGTGGAACTCCGCCTTATGGCCAACCCGTTGATTCGGCCACCTCGTTATTACCNTTTGTCATGCCCTAGCCTATCTGCCATAAGAATATGAGCGAAATCGAATTTTCGACCCTTGCCGCGAAATTAAGAATTTGTCTGATTTTTACGGGCAGGTACTCTTAAATTTTAACCTGCTTCGGCTGTGAACTGTTTATTTTGAAACTTTATAAAAGAAGTGTATTCCAGTGTGACCTAATCCTACTTTCAGAAGCTATAATAGAGGCAATGAAGATTTTTTAAATTATGCAAGTCGCGTAATTTGACATTGCTGTGGTGGATCTTACCCTCCACTGGAAGCCGTGCGCAGTAATTAAGGTACAGTGGAACCCCGCCTTATGGCCAACCCGTTGATTCGGCCACCTCGTTATTACCGTCACTTTACTCTGGCCCGAACAAAAGATCGGTCAGTCATTTTCTTATTTAAAGAGCCCCTTTAGTACGCCCGCTTCGTTAATACGGCCAGATTTTTATGGTCTGTTAGTGACCGGATTAAAGGGGTCCTACTGTATTATACTATATTATATTAACTTACGTTTCCAGTGTTTTTTAAATTCCTTATCGGTATACGGCTACGGAAAAATTAATGGCAATGTTATTTGCCCGGTGAACGCTGTTTACCCAGGGACCCATGGCGCAAACATGTTTTTATCTTTTTACGCACCTGCAGAGATTTGTGTAATTATTCGTCCAGTTGTCGTGATGAAAGGTACCCGCAAAAGTCTGTTTAAACTGATCTTCAGTCGAAAGAGATCGCGTTTAAGTTGCCATTCGTGATAGATGTGTCATCTAAGACCTTTTGGTTGAGGAACTAGATGGACGTATAAAAAGGACAGAAATCTGTCGTTTTATAATTTATCCACTGAACCGGTATAAAAGGAGGTGTCGGGAAAGTTTGCGAACTATTTCAAAATTTCTATCTAGGGTGCGATAGAAACTATAAAATGTTAATTAATGACATCTACTGGCATCCAGGGGGACTCTTTTTGGGGGGGGGATGGGGGCGAGCGCGAGCGATCCCCTTCTTCCTCCGTTCGCGCCCGCCCCCTAAAAAACCACCCGGGTTACTTGAGGACTCAGTATCGGACTCTAGCATGTGACCGCTCGCTTCGCTCGTCTAATGCCTTCGCGCTCGACGCTGGAGCCTGATCACAGGCTACACTGTCCTAAGTAAAAAGCTCATTGGCTCATTACGGGCTCATCCCTTGTATCCCGCCAATTTCGTTCCCCAGAGCCCGCTTTCCTTTTGGTAAAAAAAGAGCGGGCTCTGGTGACGAGGAGGAAAGAATGCGTGACGCGCTCACAGAGCGTTACATATGCCCGGCACCCAGGCACCTTTGTGAGCTGTTGTTGGAGAAGCTTATCATTCTTCTGTTTAGCAGCAAGCGCATGTAGCGATAACCAATTTATTCACGGACGCCGAGACAGTGCTGTATATTGATTCAGTATTACGTTCGTCTATACGTTAAACTGTCGAGATGCATAGTGTTTTCATGAGGAAGGATTCTGAGAAGGTTGACATGCTCTCACCATCTGAATATTCGTTATCAGAGAAAGAACCGCCTCCAGTGACCTTTCGTAAATCTGCATCTACTCCTGTGTGGGTTTGGGTTCTTCTGGGATTAGCATCCATGCTATTCTTGGCGGGTTTTATAACGCTTATGATTGCTGTGACGGCTGGTTCGAAGGCCTGCCCCACGAAGGACGAAACAGGCGATGGTAGTTGTAGTTACTCAGATGAGGCTGGTCGGGCGAACCTGCAGAACTTCCTAAAGAAAGTCCAATCAGAGTACTATGCTCTCAATTCGCATGAAGTTTTTTGGCAGCCTGACATTGAAAGAATGGATGATCATGTTAGGAAAAGGTAAGCTTCGATTACAAGCCACCGGCCGATTCTGCCTTTATTGCTAAGTGCATAATATCCACAGCCGGGCATTATTTTCGAGGCCCGATCGAAGGGGCAAGGAAAAATGCAAGAAATAGCTAACATGCTCGTGACTATTATCTGCAAAACCATCGAATAAGGTATTAATTATTATAANGTATCCGGAAAGAAAAAGTTGCGGATTCAAAAATATCCGGATTCGTGTGGGCGGGGCCTTAGGTCGTGTCTGGCAGTTTTTAATTTGATGACGTGAAAGTCAAAGAAAGTTGTCATAGGGAATCAAATCGTTGGGAAATCGCAGCCACTCGACATATCTTCGTCTTCTCGCTGGTAGGAGTATTCGTCTTATTTGAATGCTCTTTCTGGGTTTCCACCCATTGCAATCTCTCTGAAAACCGAATTTTTGATTTCTTCAGGACCGAGGCTCTTAAGATGTTTGAAAAATATGCTTGGGACACATCAGACTTTGCAGTGAAGGAAGTGACCAGATATCAGAGCGATCCGGGTCAGGCCACCGCGTACATGTTGGGGAGACTGGCACTAATGCAGCTGCGCAACAAGACCGAGAAGGCCCTGGGGAAGAGATTTAGCCTTCAAGACTTCCACTACCAGGTGTTGAGCCAAGGGTCCGCTCCGCTGTCCTTCCTCCAGAGCCATATTGATAGGTACATTAAGTGCATGAACAAGGACCTTGGAGAGGAAGAATGTAGTTACGTGCTCAAACCGGTCAAAGGTGCTAAGAGCGCCATGGCAGATATGCCCCACAGAAAAATGCCCCCAAAGCCTGAACATAGGCACTATGTTTAAAAACGAGCTTTCCCACACAATGTTGTATGACTTTTAGAAGCAAGATATAAATATTTTTTTGTCAATAGAGCTACGGTTTATTAAATTTGTGATCCACATCTTAACTCGTTTGAAAATGGTAGAATAGTATTACGTATTCAATGTAAATTTTAGATTTTATACCCGTTCATCAGGTCTTGACAGACTTTCTAATCCACGTAGGGAAGATGGCGAAAATTAAGTCATTTTATTGTTATCGTTGCGAGATATGAAATGCGGGTAAAGATTTTTTCCCTGCATCTTGGTGTAGCCATCTATAAAACGATGAGAAGTCAAAGACCACTGCAAGGCTGATACAACAGGGTTCGTACAGGTCATGGAAAACCTGGAAAGTCATTGAATTTGTTATTTCAATTTCCAGGCCTGGAAAGTCATGGAATTTAAGTGAAGGTCATGGAAAGTCATTGAAAAGCAACATGCTTGGCAAAAAGATATTTTAAAAATTGAAAAAATAAACGAGTCAGAAACAGGCTTTAGTTCCAGTAGAAATAGACACAAGCACGCATTTTATGCATTATAATGTTGGAAAATATGTTAAATAAATGATTGTTTTGATATTGACGCCACTTGCTCTAGAAGGAGATCATATTGGGAACGCGAGGATAACCGTATGGGACAGTAAAGAGCCTCAGAACAGTTCAATCTGGGGCGTGTTTAAAAGACGAAATAGCGCTATTTAGGCTGACCGCGGTGCCATTTCGCCATTTCGTGTTTTAAGCACGCCCTTCAATTTGTACCTACTGCCGGTACTACATGGTACACGTAACATCCAAGAGAACAAGACGGTTAGGAGAGTTATTCCCCTATACACAGGCTTTATTCATGCGGCATACGGTAAAACCTCGCAAGCCTGTTTTTGAGTTTCATCCTCCACGAAAACATCCACACAATGTGCTTGTTAACTGGGTGCCGCTCTCTATACAGTCGAACCACTCCACAACGGCCACCTTGGGCACAGAGGAAAGTGGTTGTTGTAGAGAAGAGGCCATTATGGGTAGGTAGGGGTGTAAACATGACACCTGTTTTTCGGGGGGTGCAACATTTCTTTTCTTATAAAAAAATGTCTTTTTTAGCATATAAACTGTACGTAACAATCAAAATAAGTCAATAAAGCAGACCGACTAGTTAAACAGAAACAGACAAGAGAGCAATGACGCGCGCGCACCACGGATCAAGTTTGGTGACCTTAAATTTTACAAGAAAGAAATGGGATTTTGCCTACACCGTTCGCCAGTCATTGATTAACTGACCGTTGTCGAGAGGTTATTTTATTGGCAGTAGAGACGCGTTTCAGTGGCCGTTGCTGTTGAAGAGAGGTTGACATAAGAGTGAATGTACGGACTGCTCGCCGTGGCCGTTAGTGGAGTCAACTGTGTTTAAGTTAATCAAGGAAGGAAAAAGGTTATACATGCAGTCCAATTCTAGCCGTGGTTGTCAGTATTGGTGGGGAGAAGGAGGGTGAAAGTCAAAATTTAGTACATGAATCTTATCCGGGGGGACAGTGTGTCTCTCACGGACTCTTGGCCGTCTACTTTTATCATATTATCAATCGATGGACGAGTCTGCGTACATCCCATCCAGGGAAAACATGAACTTAAGCCGTCTCCCTTCCCCCCTCCTCCCCCACCCTTCCCCTTGCACTCGCGAACTTTAGGTCGGCGTCTTTGTGTACATGTACAAGTCCTGTACTGGCGAGACGTGTTCTCTGTTCATTTTCAAAATTTCAGCCCGGCCAGGCTAGGCTACTTAAATGAAAAAAAAAAAGAAAAGAAACCCGATCGAAACAACGAAGAAAGCGTGAAAAGCACTATGTTTGGGCAGAGAGAAATCTGCCTTACTCGACTATTTGCTTCACTCTTTGCTCATTCCGTTGAAAAAATAGTTGTTAANAAAAAAAAAAAAAAAGAAAAGAAAAAGGCGCAGACTTTGGGCACGGAATTCAATGAGAAAACAAGGAAGCCGCCATGAAAAGTACAGTTAGTCCTACGTTACCTCGTTAACTCTTGTCATTCAGTCTGGTAACTCTTCTGCCTGGGTTCATCAACCCCTACATTGCCGGTTTTCATGTGATCTCATCATTTTCAAAAATTAAAAATTACAAATTCTTCTGAAGTTTTTAGCTTCATCAGACTATAGGAGCCTTTTAGAACTTGACGTTTTACAAAGTTTAAACTCGAAAGGAGGTGAATTTCCAAGTTTAGACGTTGCGTGACATAAAATGGCGGCCCGACAAGGCTCTCGCGTGGGTCAGAAGCTCAAGTTTTTGCTAACTGAACAGTTCTTGCACCAGAAGAATTATTACTTTCAATGTGTCGGAACTCTAGAGTAATAGTTTTCATTTCAGCAGCAAAATTCAACGACAGATGTTTCTGTTACTTTACGGCCGCCCCGGGGGGGGGGGGATACTCCCAGAAAAATTGGGTGGGGGTGTGCGGCCCGCTTCCCAAAAGCCTTRCCCTATTTATGACCAAAATAWGCGATATTCCCTACCCTCAGTTTATGACCAAAAATTTGAAACCCTATTGATGACCTGACYCTTACATCAAAACCCTGTTTCAGACCTGCGTCATAATTAGTTCCCTAGTTCAGACCAATGTTAAATTACCGTAAACATAATTTGTGAAGAGCTTTTGTTGATTACATAAAATAATGATGAAAACGTGGCTTCTTCTTAAAAACATACCCATATCAAGGTTAGGGTGCAAAAATCATACCCTATTTATGACCAAAATCAGCTAAAGTCGATACCCTATTTATGACCAAAACGGCTGAAAAACCATATGCTTTGGGGCCGCACATAGTTGGTGCCCCTCGGAAGGGCACCAAGATGGCGCCTCCATATAAAGCTCTATAAATTTGGGTAAAACACTTTTCCGAATAACGCGCGGATGAAAAACCGCACAGACCTAAATCTTGGCGAGGTTGTTTATATATCAATCATCTATCATATCCCAGATTCTTGAATTAATTTATTGAATGGTCATGATTTTTATTTATGATTCCGTGACAGTGCAAGCCGACAATAACTATAGAACGCCCCTGTCCCCCTCCGCCACCCCTCTCTGGCATGGTAAGTAGATACAGAGAGAACTCCGTCTGTGTTCCCAGGCTACTAGGGACGAACAAATATCTTTTTTTGCGGGAGGGATGGTAGACAATATTTATATTCTGCACAGCAAAAACTGCTGAAAAAACAAAAAACAAAAAACAAAAAAATCGCGCAAGGGAAGCCATGTTGAAAAAATCGAGCAAGTGCTTTCTACCACCCAGATCCTCTGTATTACTTTAAAAACAATTCTTGCACAAGCTATTGCCCACCAAAGAAATAAGGAACAACCTAATGGTGAAAAAATATCATGCCCCAGAAAATTGCCCCACCCCTCAAAAAATAATGGTCCGCCCTTATATCGCGGGGCCGGGGCTTTTATTTTGCGAGCACATCATTGAAGCAAACAGTGTCGAGTTGAACCGGGACTGCTGGCCTGTTGACTACTCCTCATCCGCACCAGTAATAACTAGCAATCACTGTGTCACTACGTACTAGGTACGAGCAGTGCTAAATTTTAGAGAACCTTGATGGAAAACTAAGAGTTTCCCCACTCTACCCCGTTGAGGCAAACATCCCGCTGGGGAGAGGGGTGCGTGTCTTCTTCATGGACATGTTAATTCATTCAACCGTTGTTGAATGGGTGACATGACATGACAAGCTGAAAAGAAAAGAACACGAAATTTTCTATGCATGATTGCTCATCTGTTTGTCTCAGTCGGATGCGCAAGGTTTTCTCAGCATTTGTGGTTATTTTTCCACAAATGCACGGTACCCCGGCGAGAAATTACTGCAAACTGTCCCGTGGCGCCAAGTGAAGGAATTTTAATCCTCAAGGGGTGTTTTGTTTCAAATACGCGCTTGCAGTCCGTGCAACAACAGCAAGCTTGTCTCGCCATGGAAAATTTGTCGACGACCTGTGAGTGAACAGTTGTTCTGCAGAGAAGGAGAATATTTTCCTCTGTTGGGGAAAATGAGAAATCCTTCAAGTAGCCACCGCGATGCCCCGGTCACCGTTAGCTTTCCCGTCCCAAAGAAAGCGGCGAGCAAACTTCGCACTTTGGCGATTTCCAAGGATCGACGACTGTTGGATCTCGGAGTACTTGCTGTGCAGATCAATGAGGGTGAGAGTATTGTGCTTGGAATAAAACTAGGAAGGCAAAGATTTAAGAAAACGGAAGTCGATTCTGATAAAGTGAGGGGAAGTTCTTCTGCTGGACGAGTCGCAAAGAGGCATTCATCGTGTCGGAATGCAGCCACCATTCACCACTTGCCGGCGGCATCCACGCAAGCACATAGGCTGCCCGCGGTGAAAAATGCACCTTTCTCCTCGGAAAATGTGGAGGAGAATTCAAGGAAAAGAGCAGTCCAACCGGATGGGGATGCTGTGAGCGATGAATTATTCAGTGTTTTGTGCTCGAGACGAACAGCCAACAAACCTTCGAATGATAGTAAACTTCGTGTATCGGGTTACACAGATGCTAGTGTTCTGTCAGGGAACACGGGGGAACAGTCAACCTCCTCAGGTAGCTTACCCAAGAAATCAAAGGCCAAAAAGCCGCATAGCAGTGGCAGTTTTGTTACTGAACGAAGCCTTGTTGGTACGGAACAAAATATGCAAACGTCAACACCATTTGCGGTTCGTACAAGCGCACAGACACCTCCAATCGTAACTCCTAAAGCTGCAAGATTGGTCAGTGGTCAAAATGACAGCAGTTTGCCGGCCGCTCGTCGGTTATCATCCCCTACCAGCCAGAGAGCTTACAGTGCAAGTCCTTGCTCAGACACAACTAGTACTAGCTCTGAGGAGATTTTAGATGTTCAACAGCTGATCTACAATTGTTTTGTGGATACAAGCAAATATAGTGCTGCAGACATGTTAAAACAGCTGGCTGAAGCTCATGAACGCAAGAAAGAGACCACAAATGTTACTACTGCGATGAACATCAGCGCACTGCCTCGTGCAGTGAAAACTACTGCCGTGACTGCAAAGCCTGTCCCTAGCAGCAACTCCCTTTTGGAGCTGCCAAAGATTTTGGTTAACAGCCAGGCGAACAGCAAGAGACCGGCAGTTCCTGGAAGTTACCGCGAACATGTTAAGAACATTCGCTGTAATTCACTTACATCACTCACAACCACTACATCAACAGTTAATTCTACCTTGAAAGCACACGCCAATGCCACTGAACCACTGACACTTGGTGTTCAGAACTGCAGCAACAATGTTGAAAAATCATTGGCCTTTGGAGACATGAAACCAATGATGCATATCTCCCAATCCAAGCCAAGTACAGACGCACAGTCAAAGAACATAGCGACAGGCTCTAATCAGGCGGCCTCCTATCATAGAGGTCGCAAAGTCTTGTGGTCAAGTGCGAATATATTCCCGAATAGAAGTAAATTGTCTCCCAATCTCATAATCAACAAATTATCTGTAAGCTTTCCTCAAGTGAGTTCTACAAGCCGGGAAAGTGTTACTTCACTCTCACAAGTTCAGGAGACTGTCACATCACCCAGTATCATGAAAAATGATACAGCCATTTGTGACAAAGGAGGCAAGTCAATTTCAAGTGACATTCATGTCAGTGTCCTAGCATCTAACAAACTGTCTGGACAAGAATTGGTAGATGAATGCCGGATGATGCCAAGCGATGCGAAGACTGTGATAAGGAAGACGTCATCACTGTCGTTTGATTCCTTAGAAGCAGTAACTGTGTCTGATACTGGCGGTTCCCAGGGTACAGTATCTGCTAGCTCACCAAGTCTTCCTGGTGTCACCAGCATTGCCCAAACAGAAAGCCAAGCATCAAAACAATTTGTGCAGAATCTTACCCTGGCGAGATCCACCTTAGCACCAGCTACTGTTGTTTTGGCTGGAACCAACACCCAGACAACCTGGTCCAATCAACAGGTTTCTCCTACGTATTTTGTTGGTGCCCAGGGGCAATATGGCATCTATCCCACACTGTATAGTGCCACAGATGTTAACAACAGCCAGCTTGGACAACAAGCTATGACTGCAGCCTATCCATTGAATTATGTTTATCCCATTAGCTTTGTTTACCCTTACCTCTCAATGGCACAAACTAGCAGTTTAAAAAATGCCAGCACTGAGAAAGGTCAACAGAAGAAAGAGGAAGAGGAGGTGAAATCAGATGTATGTGGTGGGGATGAAGCTTCTATGGTGTATGAAGGAAAGACAGAACCTGGAACAACCTCTCAGACAGCTAGTGGAAACACAGTGAGTGTGGAATCAAACACCACCAGCACCACACCTGTACAGACACAATTCATTGATCTGGCCAGCTCCATGAGATATTGGCAGCAACTAAATTTGCTGTACAGAACTAGATGGCAGCCATTAGCTTCTTGTAATCTCTCAAATGTTGCTGCAGTGACTTCCGATCCACAAGTCAATTTAGCAACCACAGCGTCGTCAACTGCAGATCACAGTTCCAGTACAGTTACTAATGGTGAGACAACTGCAGTGAACTCTTATTCCGAGGAACAATCACTTTCCAAGCTGGAAATCTTGCAATCAAATCCCTCAAAAGATTCTTGTGCTAGAAATGACAAGTCAGCCAATGACCCCTGTGCAGAAAAGCCACGTACTGAAAGTTTTCAGAGGGTAAAACCTGAAATCTCTGAAGAAAATTATTCAAAAGACCCTTCTAGTGACAGACCTTCTGTTATTGTGACAGCTGCTTGTAATGATGGAATGGCTGATCATGAATTGCCTAAAAGCTCAGGATTGGATATCAAAATGGAATTTAAACAGAGAGAGTTTGATGACCAAGCACTTCAAAAACTCAAAGAAAGAAGAGCAGTTTTGAGCTCAGTTTCCTATGAGACTTGTCCGACTTCAGAAGACGACATTTGTTCACCCAGACTAGACTGTAATGAACTGAGAAACATGACCGCAGACAGTCTCAGAAAAAGAAGTTTCTGTGGTTCAGCTCCAAAGTTGAGTTTTATTCACGACAGTTCTATTGCACGTGTGAACATTGGCAATAGCAACGGCAATGGTCTTCATTACACAAACCATACAGAGAATCATCCTGGAGTGAGAAGAACATGTAAGTTGTAGCAATATTCAGAGGAGTACATGTACTATTATAGTTGTACCTTAACTCGTTCAAGCATTTTGTGTAAGTTATGGTAGCAGAAGTTATTTACAAATGTATGGTTATAATTTATAAATTCAATTTGGTTTTTATTTTCCTTCAGTTTAGATTTTGGTAATGGAAATCAAGGTTTAAGATTTGCAAACCAGCAACAAATTAAGTGTATAGGGGGAAGCCTTGGAGCCAATGGATCATAGCTGCTGGAGCTTATCCCAGTTTCTGTAGCATGAAGCGGCTAGGAGTATTTGTACTCCCCCTGGACGGGATGCTAGTCCATTGCAGGTCACTCCCTTGCAATTTGTTAGGTTTCCCCAACAATTCACCGGTACCCATTTATACTCATGGGTGGAGAGAGGCACTGCGAGAGTTTAGTGTCTTACCCAAGAACACAACACAGTGTCCCCGGCCAGGGCTCGCACCCAGACTGCTCGCTCTGGGAATGAACACACTAACCATGAGGTTACCGTGCCTCCAAAAACAAATTAAGACTCGAAACAAAGATCTGAGATCTGTCAATAGCTCATATGCCTGAGATCACGCTGCTCAAGAGCTTCATTTGAATGGTCTTGTATCCATGTACTCTACAGCAACACTGCCTGTGTAGCATTGAAAACAGTACCATATAAAAGTGGACAACCTGAAGAATTGATAACAAAGTCTGATCTTCAAGAATTTTAGAGTAAGGGTTATAATTCCTGCAATAAGGGGAGATAACCTTGTGCATTGTTCAGCAAAAACCAATCATAATAAATCTAATCATGGCAATAAGCTGCAACAACATAAGATTTCTGGCCATGGCATAAACTAACCCCATGTTCTTTTGTCATTTATTTTTCAGCCGTGGGAACACAACTAGATGGAACAATTCGTCCTGCCAAGAGGAAAAAAACCAAGAGGTCCTTATGACGAACCTGTCTTTCAGTGATTCATGTACTGTTTTTAGCAAGCTCCCTTAAGGAGGTACTTTCATATAAAAAGGACAGGGCTGCTCATGACACCTTTTAGGAGTTAAAA